ATCTTGGATAAATCGACAAGCAATCAAATACATATTCACTGGCAAATATCATGGCTTACGTCGCTTTTCTCTCTTTCACAAGGTGCATTTGATAATTGCTCCTATTATGTGTAAAGCAAAACTATAGCTAACCTCTATCATGCGTTGTCTTTCTTCATCAGTATCAATAGCTAAAATGTCCTCTAGGTCTAAATTACAATCATATTCGTCAGTCTGAAAATATTATAATTAAATGCATACCTCTGTCTGATATAATATTCGTAATTGTTCGAAAATAAAATTTTCAACTTTAAGACGCTCCCCAATTCGCTGTCGCGTTTTCTTATCATACTTAGCAGTTAAATATCGTGGCCTTTTCTCTGGATATACAGAAGAAGGCCCTATAAAATTAACTCCCTTCTCTTCAGACTTCTCTGGTGAGTTATTTTTATCTAAAAATTCGGCATCTTTTGTAGTCATAATAATTTGAACATTGGTATGTAGATACTGACGATTTAAATGAATATCAAAGCCAATTTCATAATATTTTAGATAAGTAAAACGACAAACAATATTAATATTGACTAAAATATAGATGCAATATACTTTATATAAATATTTAATGTATTTTTTATGTAATGTTTTATAACTAATATTGATGGTTTATAAGGTTATTTAATCGAAATTAAATAATTTGTTTATAAGGCTCTCATTTAGACTAGTCCCAAATATTGTAATTTGTTCTATAGCCATATTTCCTTATGAAACGCGCTTCAGATTGTCCTTGTTTTTTTATGCAGCACCCTATCCATGTTTATTTAGATTCAAATAATTTCCTCAGACAATTCGCTACTGAAGCAAATGGATTCCTCAAACAACATCATTCATAAATAAATATCAACCTTTGCTTGCTAAGGTTCTTCTTTCGGCAATTATATTTTTTGCAATAGATTTTTTGTTTCATTACTGTTTCTTTTGTTATATGAATTTAGATTAATTCACTTATGATTAATCTTTATGAATCAACTTTGACGATTTGTACGAATCTGGAGACCTATATTTATTTATTGTTACATGCTTTTCTAAGCACAAGTAAACAAATTATCATAGTTTTAACTTCATACTATAAACATTAAATTAGTGGCATAACTACTAGAGGCATATGGACAGCTAATTTAATATTAGCTTACTAGATTTGCCAAAAAGCGTAATATGCGTGGATTTTCGAAAAAAGCTTCATATGATTGTTTAATATGGTCTCACATGATATAACTTACATTTTACATGTTTATCTTTTCAGACAACTTAGGGATAAAATAAATAATAAAAGATAGGAAGTAAATTAGAATTATTTGTAGAGTAACTAAAGGATGTAGACTACTTGTTATCTGTATGGCTTTTTATGGAAAATAAATTTTT